CGGAATAATAAAAATGTGTGCTGTCGTAAGATGGAATATCCCCGCACTCGATACATCTCACTTCGCTCACTCCAAGAATGTCCCAGCGGTACCTCCTCATTTCCCTTACTGCGTTTTCCAGCTTTCCATCTTTGTAAAGAGTTTTCACATTCCAAGTCGTAACCTTTAACTCGCCATGGTCGTCGTTTAATCGTATGCCCCGCCCGGGGATTATTACCCTCTTTTGCCGGGCACTGAGGGATTCTTTATTTTGTACCTTCATGCTGATATACTTGGGATTTTAATTGCAGTGGTTTCCCGTTTCCTTCTGCATCAGGTCTTTTTGGTGGTATTTACTCCCCCCAAGGCCGCTGAAGCCTCTTCTGACCGGTGTGTTAGCCAGGAGTGTGGTTATACCGCCACTGCTCGGTCGTCAGAGCCCCGTCGGTTATCTAGCAGGGAGCACCACGGGGACCTATTGGTCACCGCCGTCCGTTGACGCGTGCAGGAGGGGTTGACATTTGGGTCGGATACGATGGTAGTTCCGTCCCCCTTACTCCCTACCATTTATTGCCTACCATTTATTTACTCAAAAAAAACTGTAGTACACCTTATTAATAATAATAACGAAAATGTTCTCGTAATATAGTAATCCTTAACTCCCGTACGATACACAATTAAAAATGATTTAACCTAAAAAGTTATTATACGTTGGAGATTCATGCTCCCCTCCCATCCCGGTCCGAAAGCCTACAAAAACTGCTCGTTTCTAACCTCATCATCAGCCTATCGCAGTCCACTGCTGGACATAGGCCTCTCCTATTGCACGCCACTTAGATCGATTTTGGGCTTCTCGCATCCAGCTCCTGACAGCCATCTTGCGCAAATCGTCACTCCACCTGGTTTCCCTCCATCTCCACCCTGCACCTCCGTTTCTAACCTATACGATAAAAATCCGGACAAGTGCGAGCCAGACTCGCCCACCGAGTGTTCCAAACACTACAAAAATAGTAACCTAAACCTTTTACCTTATAATGAAGATATAGCCAAAAAACCACCAACTAGATATCATCTCATCAACAACATCATCGTAACTCTTTACACTACTGTCGTAAAGCACCTGTGCCGTATATATCACTGTGGAGGCTGTCGCGGAGTTTGCACTCCAAACTAGTGGAGTGTTCAGCGTGGACGTAACAACGCTTCGATCTCGTAGTGGCTAATGGCGTAGGAAGGCATTCACTAGAGACAATGGTTCTGGCATTCAGTATTCAGATTTTTCCCTGTGCTAGTAGTATAAGACGATGTTACTTGCCAAATTTCACAGTTCTAAGTCAACAGAAAGTTTGATTCCCTTGAGATTGTCGAAATATACGTTTTTTGCTGCATAAACGGCTGTACGGACAACAAAGTGATCCCATAAGGGTTCCGTTTTTTCCTTTTGAGGCATTAAACCCTAAAAAGAAGTAAAAACGTTAGTAAGGCCTTATACAAACATGTCAGAAACTATTAATGCCTTTATATAATTACAGTCCCTCACACAACTTACAATTTCAATTCACATAAAACGCTCAAACAATGTCATAACATTTAACGATTTAACCCTTTTGGTTAACCCTTCTAGTGACCGCGGCGAAGGTTTATTATATAACTATCAGAGTGTTAACTTTGGATCGCCTTATTACTAGGGTAAAAGGCTTTAGTTCGCTTTTATTATCTTGGGGACATTAAAAATGTGCTTTTAATGTCTGCAGCTTGTATTAGCACCACATAAAATGAATTTAGATACGTATTAAACGTTGTTTTAGTACAGGAAAACAATTAGTTTTCAAGTATAGCTTAGGGTGGCCTGAATTTAGAATTAGGTTCTTATTAGTACGTTAAGATACTGCCACTAACAGCCTGTTTAAAGAGTTTTGAGGTCCAAGTGTAAGTTTATTTCACATCTACTTGATCGTCAAGGAAATCTTCACCTTCTTCGCTCTCGAGCGCGAGTCAATGTTAATACGGCGCCGACGTGCTGTCGGTGTCGTTATGCGTAACCTCGAAGGTTGGGTAGATAGGCAGGGATGTCGCGTCACCTACCGACTGACGCAGGCTCACTGGGCATGGCTGCTTCGGTCAGTACCTGAATCGAATTGGACGCGAGGAGACTGCACAATGCCAGCACTGCGCAGCCGACTTGAGTCTGCCCAGCACACGCTGGAAGACTGCCCCGCGTGGGCGTCTAAACGCGAAGTATAGGTCGACCAAATCGGTTTTTAGCGGAAACACCACATACTCCTGGCTCCTATATTCCCAAGGAGCCGGAGTTCCAAAGGGATTTTAAAAAACATCGTCACCAAAAAAAATTGATATATCCTGAGTACACAGGCATGTACTATTCAAATAATATATTTGAAGAAAATTATAAAAGTTTCATAGCTACATTAAATGCCTTGGGCTTAAGGTTTTCCAGTTCACAGATGATCAAATCGGAGGGAAAATAGGTACTCGACATTGTAATACTTCGAATACTTGATATTGTAATACCACAATAGTTCGAAGTGCTGCTCAATTGTTACAACAATTTAAAAACAAAACTTTATTTTTAAAAGCGCCATCTACAAAAATAATTGTGTATTTTTATGAGCTTCCGAGGCTTTCGTTTACAAAATTTGATTAACAGTACCTCTCTGTTTTACTAGATGGCGCTTCATATTTTATAAAGTTTGTAAAACCAAGGATCTGTAGACTTGTGTACTGAATCGGGTTTTGATATAAGAGCTCCACCCTGCTCTTTACTAAAAATAAAGTTTTAATGGCCAACAAAGTTAATAAGTATTTTTGTTTAAAAACTGTTACGTTTTAAATATCAGTGTCCAAGTAGACACTTAAAACGTTACAGTTTTTTATACGCAGACAGATCAATTATGTTCTTCTATTGTGATGAAAATGATCATTAGATCAAGCTTATAGGCCCTGGGTGGGAATCGAACCCGACCAATGTGATCAAGATCAATAACAATAAACTGAGAGGCCGGTCTAACTATAAAAATGTCTGATTCCTTTGACAACGATTTTCATCTGTTTTTATGTCTATATATATATATATAATTATTTTTAACTTTAATTAGTTTATAAGTTTGACGTCTGTCTGTGGCATCGTAGCTCCCGAACTGATGAACCGATTTTGATTTTGTTTTTTTTTGTTTGGAATGTGAATTAGTCGGGAGTTATCTTAGCTATGTTTGATGAAAATCGGTCCAAGATGGCCCTCAACATGGGTATCAAATGAAATGGCTTGACTAGTAGAATACTATACACTCTGACAAATTTCTAAGGTAAGATTTTTTTTAAATTAATTTTTAATTTAATTTATAAATTTGATAATTTTTGAGATGGTTTTCGTATACGAAACATATTATAGAGTTTGCTTTTAAATAAACTTTATTAGATGTGCACTTCATGATGTAACTTATCAAAAGGGGTATTGATATTCTTACTCAACACCGAAAGAATTCAAATATTGTCTCACAGCAATACTGATTTTGTAATCAACAGAATTTCTTTACTTCCATGAACAGGAATTAGTTAACTAGTTCTACAGGGCCGGACCTGAGCTAACTCTAGTATAGGGTTTATATTTATAGGGGTTCCCTCAAGTTAGCGACTAAATTACCTCATCAAACAGCATTTTTTTTCCATAAATGTTCCATTTACTGATCAATAGTATATATGAGAGAAGGTATACCATTAAACAAGATAATTTGTATTATTTAATATTCAGTATTAATGTCCATAATCTTATAAAACGGGCATTTGGTGGCTCTGTAGATACGGGGCCCTGACATGGAGCCCGTAAAGACCAGTCATGGTCTTTTCCAGCAGAGAATAAGTTGTTTGTTCTGTGGGTAGGACACCCACAGAACAAACAAGTCATTCTCTCTTCTGTGGTTCTACCAGCCCAATTTGTATAACTTACCTAATTTATTTTTTGTTTATTAAGAAAAATTACTAGATTTAGGTTTATAGAAGCAGAAAATGGCTTGAACTAGAAATCAATGTGGAGCATATAAAAAAATAAACAATTATTATAAAAAAGTCTTTATTCCGATATTTACAAAATGTATAAAAATAGTGTTAATTGCTTAGAAAGCATAAACACTTACATAATATTACCGTTCTTCTTCGATTTGTGTTACAAATTCCGTTCAACTCATATAAACATTATAGTAAAATAGTAATGTGTAATATTATCTTACAAATTAGGACTTTAAAGTTCAAAGTAAATATTCCTTTAATATATCACAATATAACTTCAGTAGGCTTCCCTCAAAGTCAGAATCGAGGACAACGTTCTGAAATTATAAAATTGATATTTTTTTCTTTCAATATAACATTCCCTGTACTTAATCTTAACTTAAACATTCGTAGCGTATTTTAATATTGTATTTTTTATCATACATCAAACATTTTTTTAACATGAATACTAACCATATAAGAATGAATGAATGATTTAATCCAGATGGGGCAAAATATTGTCTACACTATATGTCGGTCATCATGGCGATTTAATAACTTGCAACACAGTTACGTTATACAAAAAATTCATATTATTAATTTCTTCTCGAAACCTCGTACTAGTTTCATATAGTACAAAGCAAAGAGCTATAATCTGAAGGCGCTCAAGAATTTTTACTTGAAAAAATGTTTATATTGGTGAAATTATTTTTATTTTTAAGTTTTTTTTAAGTAAGCTTATGAATTAAGCAACTACAATAGTAATAGTAATTTAATTGCAAATACTTTTTTGTGATTACAAGTTAGTAAATCGTATTTTCATAGTGTGAAATGGTTGCATTTTCTTCAGTCTACATTATATATCTGATATGAATATATATATACATACAATAGAATATCTCTCACTCATAGAAAAAGCTAGATCTCTCGTCGCTTTTCAACAAAAGCAAGTCTCCAGACAAATTATGAAAATATAAATGTCATCAATTGATCGGTGAGTTCCTTACAAATACTTAAATTTAAACATTATTAAGCACACTAGTAGTATCAAGTTTTAGTTTATTTAAAACATCTACCGTACTTTGAATAAGTCCGAGGCCGAGTTTTAATTTAAAAACTACAATTTTTTGAAGTAATGAATAAATTCCGAACTGTGACGCGGACGGAAACGAAAAATCTGGACTTTCTGTTGCAACTACTGCAGGTCCATCTAAAGATTTCACGGTTGTACCTTCTTTAGGCTGTTCTGTAGGTGGGGATGTATTTAGTACGACACCTAAGGTATCAACTTTTACCTCTGATGTCGTTTTAGTCTCAGTATCAGGTTCAGTCTGATATGTCAGGGTTTGTTCAGTTGTTGATGTATTCAAATAATTGATACGCCTATCGTCAGGAGTAGCAGAAGTGGAAGGGTCTTCAGAAATACTGACAGACTCAGTGGTGCTTTCTGGCTCATCATATAATTCACCTTCTGTTGTTGTCTCACTACTTATTGGTACAGTTGAAATATTTTCAACGTATTCGTCTAGATCTGTATTTGTTGTTTCTGTGTCTGTTGAGGCAACAGAACTTATTTTATCTCCCTCAGTTTCTTCCGTATTCACGTTACTAGATTCACTGCTTTCAACATCATTGTTTGGTGAATTTGAAACCTCGTTTGCTGAAGCATCTGTAGGTTCAGGTACTTCACTGACTTTTAGTTCAGTGTAAGGCGTTAAAACATTGTCGAAAGTACTAATCTTACTATTGTGAAAATCATCAATTTCATTACTTATCAACGGGTCCTTATCAAAGTCAGGCTCATTCAAAAGTTCTTCCAATGAACCAGTAACGCTGCGTTTTTCTCTTAATTTTCTTGGTCCATGTTCAGGTACTACTGCGGGTGTGGCAGAATCTGAAAGCTCTTTTGGAACATTTCCCACCACAAACTGGTTATCTGACGCCTCTGAGTTATATGAATTTTCTTCATATTTATTCACATCTTCCTGATTATCCGCATTATTGTTTGAACCTAAATACATTGATGTTGGTGAATACGTCACAGAGCTACTGGTCGTTTCACTAAAAAACTGACCTTCAAAGGGGTAAACAGGTTTAAAATCTGATTCGGATGATGGTTTAACACCATATACCACAGAATTTGATGCGTCACTTCCGTATGATGATGCTCCCGAAGGCCCAGTCTGTGTTGCTGCATATATTGGCTCTACAGCAGCTGCGGAATAAGGAGTATAATTCGGTTGCTTAGCTTTTTCATAGTTGTATTTTCCTTCAGTCGTATAAGAATGACGTGTTTCATATGGCCCATATGTAAGAGGTTTAGAGTATACAGCAGCATGTGCTATTCCTGTCTTTTGTTGGGCGTAATGCATTTTGTAATTTGGATTATAGCTAGGTGTAACATACCTATATCTAATATCTTGTTCTTTCTTTACTGGATACCGATTAATATGAGTTGTTTGAGCAGCATATGGGTTCAACTTATGTTTAGCATGAGCAGGCATACCAGCTAATACAGTCCCCAACATTTCTTCCTCTGCTTGTCCATTGCCATCATTAGCGTATTCTTCAGCATTGTTTCTATATAAATCATCACTCTTGTCTACTTCAAAGGTTCTGCGTACTGGAGTAGCAAATGGATACAAAAAGTAACCAGCAATACCAACTAAACTTGCTAAGCCTAACATACCTACTCCCACAGAAGGCATAACTTCTCTTGACAAGTAATTATAAATTTGGGTTGTAATAGCACCAGTTTGTACAGGTGGTTTTTTAGAATTTTTATTGCTTTTTGTTTTGTTCGAATTTTTCACATCGGTAATAGCAACATCAGTACTTGGTTTTGGCGTTGATGTCTTGCGTTTCTTTGTTTTATTTTTCTTTTTAGTTGAATTTCTTTTTGGTTTTTTTGTTGTTGTGGCTGGTGTACTAACTTCTAGTTCAATTTCTTGTTCTTTTGCTTCAGTAGGTAAAAGAGCGGACTCGTCAATCATGGGTAATGGTGAAGTAGTGCTTGTAGTTTTCTGTTTATTTTTGTTCTTCTTTTTTGTTTTATTACTTACGTTTACGCTGGGAGTAACAATGGGTTTAGTTTGTTTTTTTGTTGTGGTTGCTTCAGTAGTAGTAGTAGTAGTAGTCGTTGTGGTGGTAGTGGTTGTACTAGGCTTAACAGTGTTTTTGTTTTTCTGAACACTTGATAGCACGGTATCTTTTAACTTGTTTAAAACGTTCTCGTTAATAGCTGAACCCCCAGCGACTAAATCAGCTTTATTTGTGCTACCAATGATGGGGCGCTTATTTATTTTATTTGTTTGTGGTCGTTTTGGTTTACTTTTAACAGGCTTAGTTTTCTTTTCTTTTTCCTCGAGTTTTGTAGGTTCAGTGGGTGTGTTTTCTTTGTGCCCATTACTTAATGAATGCCAAGTTGAAATGCCTTCATTAGACGTTGATGATTCATGTTTTACCTCATTTACTTTGTTATTATTATCAAGTTCTTCCACACTAACCGGAACTGCTTCACCTGGATGTGCATTCTCGTATTGTTCTTCGTCTTCATTTCTCGTCCTTATTCTATGTTTGACTTGAGTTTTGAGCTTTGGTGGCATTCTAGTGTCTGAGATGATGGGTGCTTCTATTGTTGAATTGGGTTTGTCCATAAGTTGAATAGCCACCATTTTAATAGATTCTCGTATCGGAGTTTTTGATTTCACATCTCTAGCAGTGCTTTCAGGAGCTGGTGATGCAGGTTGAATAAGTTGCTCCGGTACAGATGAAACTGTCTTCGTAGATGTGTCTCTGGAATTAAAAAATAAACAAGAAATGTAATTTAATATTGTACGCATTATTTATCATAGTGGATCAAAAGGCCAATTCTCTTAATAAAAGTTCGGTCACAATTCATCATCATCATCATCATCATCAACAGCCTTTAATAGTCCACTGCTGGACATAAGCCTCTCCTTAGAAAGAGATCAACTTTCTATCTTACAAGTGTCATAAAAGGTATTTTCATAATAAAATAGTAGGGTATTACTAAGACTAGCAGGTTACCGATTCAATTTTTGGTTACAATACGATGTAATCACATTACAGTCAACGTTGGATGTTTAATACTTTACTACGAAAATACTTTTTATGACAGTTGTGAGATCGAAAGTTGAATTGACCTTCTGGTATGCATGTATATCGTTTAAAAATTTAGAACTGTTTAATTTAGATTGCCTAGTCGAAATCAAGTCCAGTTTCCTCTACGAACTAGATCTAACAAATCATAAGAACGATGGTTTGCTATGCTGCTATGCTAAAGATAAATTCTACAGATAGAAGATTCGATAGATGGACAAAATCTTAATAGTTAGCATTTACTATAGGCATGGTCAGCAGTTGTTCTTATTAGTCGTAAAAATAGATAAATCCACTACTTGGTAGGAGCGACTGTATTCATATTAAAATGACCTTATTTGATACAAATTTTACGTCATATCATACACTCACTTCTTAATCCCTTACGTACTTTTTATCTCCTGAGAGTACGCTTACATTTTGACGACGTTTAATCCTTTCTACATAACAGAGGGTTGACCTAGTGGTGTGGCCCAGCCGAAGTATATCGGCGGACGGCTGGTTTCCGGGCGGGATAGTGGCAGTCGGCCCCCGCCCGAAGAGATAAGCGAGTGGCGTGAGGCCGCTCGCCGAGCCACGATGGCTCGTTGGTCGTCCCGGCTGGAGGCTCCACGTGCTGGCTTTGCCGCCGTGGAAGCGCTCCAGCCGGTCATCGTCGAGTGGGCAGGGCGGCAGCACGGGACCTTTTCCTTCCGGCTGACGCAGGTCCTTTCCGGGTATGGCTGCTTCGGGAGGTACTTGCACTCGGTCGCTAGGAGGGAATTGAGTCCCGCCTGTCACCACTGCGATTGCAATAAAGACTCGGCTCAGCACACGCTGGCAATTTGCCCGGCTTGGGCGCCGCAGCGCCGGGTCCTCGTTGCAGTCATCGGGGGGGATCTCTCGCTACCGGCCGTCATACGCTCCATGGCCGGTAGTGACAGATGTTTTACCGCTGTCGCATCCTTCTGCGAAGACGTCATCTCGCAGAAGGAGGCGGCGGAGAGGGCCCGGGAGGACAGCTTTTTCATTCAGCTACTTTTCATTTAATTTTATTAACTGAGTAACTAATATTGTGTTTGTTTATCTTTTATTTAATACCTTTAGAAGGTTAAAAAATAAAGCAAAATTACTCACTTGTCGTCAGAAGAACGATTAAGTGAAAGTGAAAGCTCCAAAATCGGGAGAACTTACGCTTCCGGTCCTTGGGGGCAGGTTTTAGATATGGCAGCCCTAGTTATATCTCTAAGGATAGACTGAGAAATCTCTTGCATACTGTGCAATAGAATCTGTACGCTTTTCTTTGGATTTCTGTGGAACACTGATATAATCTACCATATTCTAGAAAACAAGCAGAAGTACTATGGTTTTGTTATAATAATTTTAAAGATATTTCTTTATATTTATACCAACATTATTAATAAAAGGAGCTGGTTTCTATTGGCCAGCCTTATTTTAACACAAAGTTGTTTGTAAAAGAAAGACCATGTATCACAGTAACATGAAATTATAACCAAACCTTATCAGAATTCCACTCCATGCTTTAACTACTTAATAAAATAAAAACGAATAGTTTTTCACAGCTTTATTTGTTAAATTTAGTAAAATATTGTAATACTCTATAATTTTGTACAAAATATGTTTGTGGTATAGAAACAATAGAGACAAGATCCCATCTGAAAAAGATTTTGAAAACTTTAAAGATAAATTTACGGATAAGTAGAATATCCGGCTCGTGAACAAAATATCGCCTCGACCTCCATACAAGGACGCAAATAAATATTATACTAAATATATAAAGAACGTAAGTCAATAGACGATATCAATTTAAATTACATAATAATTAATCTTAAAATATTGAAATGTTTCTGACCGATTTTTGATCAAACATCGTATCTATCCAACATAATCAGCAAAAGTAATTATGCTAATCCTATTAGATATAAAACGAACGTAAAACACTAAAATAAAATATTTTGATCGTGCCGTGCCGGTAAACAACAAATAATATTGTAAAATAACATTTTAGCTAACGAAAATATTATGAACAATGAATTATGAAAACCTCTTACTTAAGAATATCTACCGTTAGGTATGAAATAAATAACGCTACACTACTGAACCTATAAATCGATCTTAACCTAAGTCTTATCAATAAAGTTACATAATACTGTTCACAATCGATTATCACCATACAACGTAACATATTTTCTTTTAGTTTCACGTACAAAAATAAATAAAAATACCTGAATAATTATTCCTCAAACAGTCGTCCGCACAGCGATATTTCAACGCACGTTCTTTTTCGCAAAATTCTGTGACACATTGGATCTATATAGGATTGGCGCAAAAAAAATTATTTGAATAAAAATCTCGCTGTGAAATATCGTTGTGTGTACGGGCCCTTAATCTTCTGCGTCTGAATAATCATCAAAAAATCATTACACACCTATTAGGTCAGTCCATCAAAAATACTATACTAACTTTTTGTTTTAAGAAGTAATAAAAACTAACTTTTTTATTCAGTCCGTCTGGATAGGAAATCTACTCTAGATTTCTGTTGGATTCTTTTACATGGGAAAGAATTTCTATTTTAGAAAAGTATAGAAGAGCAAGGATGGGGGAGTTATAAGTTATCAACATCACTTTAATTCCATCTTTATTAACATTTTATTTCACCTGGATAGTTGGCGCTACACTACTACTACATTCTGTGGAACGGGTTATCATGTGCGGTATTTCCGGACCGATAAGACCTTCAAACCTTCAATAAAAGAGCGTACTCCTTCCTAGAAAGCCGGCAAGGCGTTTGTGACTCCTGAGTTGCAGACGTTCATGGGCGGCGATGGTCACTTTCCATCAGGTGACTCATCTGCTCGTCTGCCCCGTCTAACATAAAAAAAATAATAATATTGGGTTTTAGGATTAAGAGAAATCTAAGCTGCATACATTAACCTCTTTAATTTAAACGTCTTGTCCATGTCTCCCTCTTTCGTCTTTTTACTCTACGTTCATTGTGTTGTATTTGGTTATTTTCTTTTATTTTATTTGTAAAGTTAATAATCCATTGTTTTAGTCGCCTAAATAACGGCAGGATTCCGTTGATTTCTTTTGTTTCAGTACTTTCTCTGCCCGTTTCAGGTACAACTCTCCGATTACTTGGAAATGAATTTAAATGCCACGTTTTCAACTTGTCATCCCATCGCCATTCTGGTTTATAAACCTGTATAACTTTAGGGGCTTCTCTACCAACTGGAAGAAACCAAGGAGAAAATAATGCAGCAACTCCTGTCCCCGCAAAGAGTAAACCTAAAGGAGCTAACAAAAGGGGAAATAACCCTAAACTTAAGGGGGTTACTAGCCAACTAAAAGCATTTAATGCTGGACGAAAAAAGTCTATTAAAGATGAAAAACTAAATATGTCATCGTCTTCCCCTCCTGAACTGGGTTTAGTTATTGCAGATATCGGAGAAGTTGCAGCTCCAAATCCACCAGCTTCACTGGACTGCGATTGAATAGGACTGTTTGCAGAATGATAATTTGCTAACTCTGTTCCTTCAATAGATGCACTATCGTTTTGTTCTGTGTTTTCATCTGATTCAGAATAATCTTCATCTTTGGAGGAGTCAGTGCCAGAATTGTCTCCGCCATTTAAGATAGAATCTTCGTCCAAACCTAAGCCAAATCCAGGAAAGAAGCCTTCGCCTTCCTCATCTGATTCTATTACCACATTTTTATTTACTACATTAGTATTAACTGCTATATTTAAGTCTGGGCAAGCTTCTTTACCTTCACCTTGAAAAGTATTATTTAAAGTTAAATATATAGTAGGACAATCTTCTGGATACGGGCTATATTGTTCAGGTCGTATAACAATTCTATCGGTGTAAGAACTTGTTGGTTCAAAAGTCGTAACTTCATAATTACCACCATGGTGATTTACGTTGTGGTGATATTCATAATTAGGCCTTGGTTTTTGCGTTGTTGTCCGTCTAACATTTTGGGTCCAAGGCTTAGGATAACCTACATTAGTAATAATTGGTGTGGGAGTAGGAATACTATGGACATAAACAGGTCTAGTTGGACGTGGATAATGCTCAATTACTTGTATATGTGGATGAGAGTTAGAGTCCACTACTTGAATATTATTAGAATACATGTGACTTTCCTGTGAATATTGAGGTCCTGGTTTATTGTGACCATTGTAATACATATCACTTGGAGGTCTATTATATCTTTTAGAATTTATTTCTTCAGAGCCCTCTATGTTTGTGTCATTATTGTAGTTGTTGAGATTCATTTCATTGTGTGTTTGCTCTGGTGAACTTGTGATTTCGGAAGAAAATATTAAATCATCAAACTTAGTTTTATCTCTCCACTTGGTGATTACTTTTCTTATTGTTGGTTTCTTTTGATTTTGTGAGAAATAGTCATCCTGGTTTCTATTTGTTACTGGTTTTGGTCGTTTTTTATTTTGTATACCCCGTGAACTGAAATTTATCAAACGACCTAATCTTGAAAGTGCAGTTTCATTATTTATCTCTACTTCTTTGGTCGTACTGCTGCTGAGAAGTATTGATAGATTAAGAGCATTGTGAGAGTCGTTAAATACATTATGAGACACACTTTTTTTGTTATTTCTGTTTATCGTTTTATTTACAAAGGTTATAACTATAGGTACTAACTTAAAACTATTTAAACTTAAATTGCTATGTCTATACCTTATTGGAGTTGAGGTTGTTTTTTCCTCATTTTCGCTATTTGCGGTGATAGCAGGCACTTCCTGAGGTCGCGTATATACAGACGGACAAACTAAAACTACTAATAAAACTAATGTCCACTTTAAACACACACTTTTTCGCCGCGTCATAGTTGCAACGATTACCTGGAAAGAAGAGAAATACGTGATTAATGACAAATAACAATTGGTTTTTTTTTACTATTGTATCTAAAACTAGCTTTACGTGTTACATACATGCATGGAGATGTTAATAAAATTGGATTGTTCAAGTAACTAACGAACTTAGTATCGCCACAAAGATCTTTGTGTCAAAAAAACATCACTGTTGTATGATTTCATTAATGTATTCATTTACAAAAACTAAACATATATTTCATAACTCTCCACATTTCGTGGGATTCGGGCTAATACATCGGTTGTTGAACTTTTAGCATAATTGTCAAAATCCTATGTTTGGCCGTGTATTTATGAACAATAAATCAACTATGATGATCCAAATATTAAAAAAAAAAACGGTGTAGGTGAGATCCAAGAAGCCAGAGTATTATTCATTATATCAGTTATGTCTAACAATCACTGTCAACGTTGATGCCGCAGTCGTATAGTTAAACCGCCGTAAGCTTGGCCCTCCTGATGGTTTGCGGGACGCGGGGCGGGTGATGCGCTCGGCTATACATGACACGATGTACTAACTCGATATCTTCAGATTTATTTGTTTGAGATTTAATCTACACACGATGTGATAAAAATCGAATTTAATTCCATGTATTATAATGTTAATTGTAAAATTTAATACTGTAAAATAATTTTAATAAAATCACCTTATCTTCATCATGTAAATTATATTCAGATACAATTTAAAAATTAAGTAAAATAATAAATATTCTTTATTAGAACTTTAACAGTAGAACCTCTGTAAGCCAAACTTCAAGTTTCTAAGTCTTTTTGTGACGCAGAGTCGGCAGATTATCCATGTTGCAAAATAATACCGTGTGTAGCAGTCTTAAGAAAAATAACACGTACAGCCATGCTTTCGCGTCAGTCACTGTCGGCGGACAGCGACGCACTAGCTAATTGGTTAAATGCATCCCCGCCCCGCGTCCCCCAAACCATCAGGAGGGCCAAGGTTGCGGCGGTTTAACTATAGTGCACAGTAAACACATCGAGGAACAGTTTTCATTTTACTGGTGTGGAATCGAATCTCACAGTCATTTTTTAAAGTAAAATATGTACAGATTTAGGTGTTTTATACAACAACAACGGTGTCATGTCATGTCAAATATCAAGTTATCTAGTTCCCTTACAAAATCTTTAATAATAATTTAAACATTTGTTGCGAATGCGATTTGATCAGGACCTGAAAAATACAGAGAAATGCAAAAATAAATATTATTATCCATATTTATGTAGTAAAATTATTCTGTTTTTTCTTTTCTATTTCTTCTTTTAAAAAAGACAACTCGAGCATTAGGAACATATCCTATGTCGCGGGGGACTTTACAAACATATATGAAACGGACTTTGAACAACAATTTGTGGATCACACAAAGTGTCGTCCCATGTCGGGATCGGACCCACAACACTCAGCGTAGTAGTAAGCGGCGTGGCTACCGCTTAAACCACTACGTCATCCGTGCAGTCGAAGTATTTCAACCGAATTACCTCAAAAATATAGGTGTACTACTTCCTACACTATTGTAAAAAAAGAAACCGTCTAAAACGTCAGAAACTAGAATCTATGAATGATCTTGACTTTCCTCTTAAAGTACAGATTGTTTATTATCAGATTAAATCTTATAAAATATAAGCAACTGATCGACACTTCTCGTGATCAGAAGGCTCGCCTTTTTCTAGCACAGAGAATTAGCATTGCCATTCAACGTGGCAATGCTGCCAGAATTTTTTAATATTCAATAGGAATGAAAAATAAAATAAAAAATAAACAGAAATTGTTAAAATCTTAAACCTGAGGCACGACTAACATGGCAGAGATACTAAAAGTGGTCATTCCCCTTTACGGCATCACCCGTAGGTATAAAAAAAAGAGAAGTCATGTAGCTAAGTTAATCCTAAAGCTATGTTGAAAACCCACCTGTAGGTATCTGAATGTAGTTTTGTATCGTTCACTGATCCGTTAACCCACGATTAAAATACCGTTAAGATGATCTACAAAGGTACCATACGAAGATTCCGATGACTTAATAGTCAGGTTTAAAGTAGGACGCAGGTACGAGTGTGTTTTAGTGACTTTGAGAATTGCTTTGGTATCCAAACTACTTGTGACTTACTTTTCAATGTTAAAACACAAAAATATTTTTTCAAAACATCGCAGTTTAAACTAACGGAGCTTTCAACTATAAATATACTTATAATCCATACTAATATTACAAATGCAAAAGTGTGTCTCTCTTTCTGTCTGTCAACTTAAACCGCTTATTCGATTAAAATGAAATTTGGTATTGAGATAGCTTGAGTTTCGGGAAAGGACATAGGATAGTTTTTATCCCAGAAATCATCCTTTAAGAGGTTGAAAAGAGGGGTGGAAGTTTGTATGGGAAATTAATAACCGCTGAACTCATTTCGATGAAATTTAGCATGGAAATAGTTTGATTCTTGAGGAAGGACATAGGCTGCTCTTTACAGTGATAACCGACATACACGCGAAATATAAACACGTAACAATTTTGAGCAGGGCCGGTACTATGGATACCAGTGTACTGATAAACATACTGATATACTTATTACATACAACAGTATCTATTAAATGTAACTTTACATAAGATTAAATTTCTGTGTCACTGCCTAATTTACCTTTTTTTTTTTTTTTTTTTTTTTTTAACGTGTGGAAATCCCCTCGGACCGTCACCCCTCCGGGGTTTGCGGCGGGGTGGTGTGTCGGACTCGGACCGACTAAAACCACACGGTGTGCCACTCTGCGCCTGTAACAGGAGGGATCCGGGAACAGCTGTTGTATGTATCTAACAAAATGATAAAAGAAGCTTGTAAACTTTCGGGTGACACGATTTTCACTGTCTTTAAACGTTGCATTGCTGAAGGAATATTTCCTCGTATATGGCGGTGCGGTAATATTCGTATAATACCAAAAAGTGGCGACAAGCCACCGGATGATCCTAAATCCTACCGACCAATCACATTATTACCATCGTTAGGAAAGCTTTTAGAACGTCTTGTAGTGCCCCGGCTTCTGCCAGGTGGAGTCAAATTTCATGATAGACAATTTGGATTTACGTTGGGTAAATCGACAACTGACGCTGTTATATCGGTTAGAAAGTTTGTCACAGAGTCAACATTTCAATACGTGCTGGCTATTTTCTTAGATATATCTGGCGCCTTCGACAACGCATGGTGGCCCATGCTGTTGCTGAAATTAAAATCACGGGGGTGCTTTAAAAATATTTATTCCCTTATCTCTTCGTACTTTTCACAAGGTACAACTAAACTAAGACTTGGTCATCATTCTGTGTCGAAGGCGCTTACAATGGGATGTCCTCAGGGATCGGTGCTAGGTCCATACTTGTGGAATATCGGCTTCGACGATTTTCTTGCGATACCAATACCATCCGGATGTACTCTGAACGCGTATGCTGATGACGGCTTATTACTGGTGGAATCTGATACTAGGGCGGGGCTTGAGAGATTAGCCAATAGATGTTTGAACTTGATATCTCAATGGGGTGAACGTAATCGCTTAACTTTTGCACCCAACAAAACCTTCCAGCTACTTTTAAAAGGTAACCTCAAATCACCGCCGAGCATTAGATTTGACAATGTTACTGTAAAAAATAAAACCACAGTGTGTTATCTAGGATTAGTTTTAGAAAGAAACTTTTCATTTATCGAACATATTAAAATAGTTAATGAAAAGTCTAAAAAGAGTTTCTGTGCATTGACAAGGATATCAACTGCGACATGGGGTCTATCATTTAATACATTAAAGATCATATACGGAGCTACTTATTTAGGTTCTATGTGCTATGGTGCACCTGTATGGGCCGATAGGGCGACCGTAGGCGCTGTCCGTCGCAAACTGTTACAAGGTCAACGACTTGCACTGATATTCTTGTGTAAGGCATATAGGACGGTTAGCACTGAGGCTTTGCCGGTGTTGGCGGGTGTGCTTCCGGTCGATCTCGAGGTGCAGAGACGTGCAGCCATGTACTATTCAAGACAACAAAACATGGAATGCGATTTTTTGGGCGCGCGGGATCGCGGTAAAATTACAAGATTGCTTCAACAGCAGCCCGATGTCTATAATGACCTCATAGACGAATGGCAACAACGCTGGGATGAATCATCCAAGGGGCGCCATCTTTACCAATTCTTTCCATCTGTTCGCGAACGGTTGTCGAGGATATGGCTTGAGGTGGATCACTGTGTCGCTCAATTTCTTACGGGTCATGGTAACTTTAAGAGCAAGCTTTATTCATTTAAATTAGTCGAGTCACCATTGTGTCAATGCTCAACACCTAACTCTCACTATGAACAGTCTGCTCATCATATCCTCTGGGAATGTAGTCTTTGGTATAATGAACGTAATATAATGCTGAATAGCTTGCAGGTGACATCTGGGGCGGTATACTATGGGGATCTTGTGTCAACTAGGGTGAATTTCCGTGCGTTTAGGCGATTCTGCCATACATATTATAGAAATCAAACATAGCTCACGTAGGACCCGTAATATTTGTGGCCGTGGTGCTTCCCTGTTTAAAAGGGTGTATGCCTATTTTACTTCATTTTGTCTCCCGCTTTGCTAAGGAGGGAAGTGGATTTACTGTATTTCCAACTCCTCCAATTTTCTTCTGATTAATTTCGTTGCGGGTTCCAAGACAGTTTAATTTCTTCCTGGGACTTCCCGAGTGTCATAACTCGGTGTGTTCGTGGGTCACTGCTGTGGATCCTGGTGCACAGGAGTTACAGTGGTGGGCGTGTGGGTGGGATTAGTCCCATTAAAAAAAAAAAAAAAAAAAAACAGCTGTTGTTAAGACATCCGGACCCCTCCTAGCGCCAGCCCGCTCCTGGTGCGGGCTCCGTCTCAATATTTTTTTCCTCTCTTTAGGCGACGTCCGGCACACGCGGACGCCGCCCCCTCGCGGCTGGCCAAACTAATG